GCCTCAAACCGTGACACTTGCCGATTTTATACATCTTACTTATTTTTTTTAGTTCACGGCTTAATCTATTTATACATCCAGTGACAGAAGATCAATGCCTCAATACTTTTGAATCCACAGCAGCTGTTGCTTTTGCTTTGGACATGTGTAGCATCTAATAATCAGATTTGATATAACACATTGGTTTTCCTTCATTCCCTTTACTGTATTATTTCCCTGCAGCAAATATGCCTGTAAAAGTTTGCATCTCAGGGACCATGGGAAGCTTCATGGAGGGAGCAGAGGCCTGAATCTTTCTGCAAAGCAAATAACACTTTACTGCAGTCTGGTCCTCGTTTCTCAGATTTGGATATCCAAGCCCCGAGGGCCTGAGTTTCCTACCTTGCATGGCAGGTCTCGGCAGGGACTGCCTGAGGAGAGCAGCAGCGTTGAACAGTGGAGACGAGGCTGTCCTAAATCACTTCAAAAGGGACCCACAGGCTGAACTGCTTTAATAAGCTCTCCACCTCACAGTTTACAGTAAATTATTAATGCAGTGACTTCCAGGGTTGGACAAATTTTTAATATTTTTGTCTTTTATTTTAAGAAAAGGTTCAGAAATCATTCTCAGTAAAAGAAGTTAATAAATGATACATGTCTGAAAATCACCTTGCAAGCCCAGTAAGGACAGCCTGGGATGGGTTTAGCTGCTTTCTTACTAGCAACCAGGCTGTGTTCAGAAGTGAAAACAGAGATGTTTAAACATGTTTAACATATCCTTCTTCCAGGAGGAAAGAAGTAAACGCGAGGCGATGGATGTGAGGGTAGCACACTGCCTGCTCCTTTGGGCTGTGCAGTTCTTCCCAGCTGCGCCACACACTGCTCTCAGGGTAAGTTTCACTAGATCAGGTTGCTCAAAGCCCTGTCCAACCTGCCCTTGAACACTTCCAGGGAAGGGGCATCCACAACTTCTCTGGGCAGCCTGTCCCAGTGCCTCACCACCCTCACAGTGAAGAATTTCTTCCTGATTGGATCTAAGTCTGCCCCTTTCAGTTTAAAACCATTACCTCTTGTCCTGTCACTACAGGAGAAAATACTTTGAAGTATTCAGTACGTTCAATAGGCCAAGCAACCTCCAGCACAGTTTTTAGAGTGTTAGAAATCTGCTATTCAGCCTGCTCTACCCAGCAATAACAGTGCGATTTCCAAGGCATTGCATAGCCGAGCTTTGCTTCCAGACTGACAGGGTTGTAGGTGATTAAACCATTTGACCAAGCAGCGATGGAAGCTGTTCTGGATTGTGCCTGGCTGTATGGTATGCAGTCCCAGCAAGTGACCCTGCCTGCAGGAGCCTGGTACGCCTGCCTTGGGGTGGCTTCCCAGTCGGGAGAGGAACAAAGTGGCTGCTGGTATTTGTACAACTGTAGCTTCATCTTATGGCAAAAGTCACATAGATCATATATTCTCGTCAACAAGAAAATACTGGAGAGCTTAAGTCTGATACAGGGGTTCTGATTGAGGAATGACTGCTGGGGACATGTGTGATCCTGTCCACTAGCTCAGTATGTCACTGCAGCAGAAGGGTGCAACTGAAGGCTTAATAGATAAACTGGTGGTAGAGAGTTCTCAGTCAGTCTATATGAGCAAGGGGCTAAAGCTCTGCATTCTGGACCTTGAAAAGACTTCTGGACCTCAAAAGGACTACTTTGCCCTTGAAATCACTTTTCTGGTTTGTGCCAAAGAGTCATCTTTTACTTACTTTAACATTCAATCTACATTCTACTTCTTATTTTTCAGGTTCTCAGTAAGGAATCAAAGGCTGGTAATCAGCAAGGTACAGTGAATAGCTATGTGTCTTTGTTAATTCTTTGTGAGATGTTATCAGTCATCTGTACTTTACACCCCTGATGCTCACCTCATGGACCGTGGTATGCTGTCTTACACCTTGTAACAATATCCACTTGATTTTTTTTCAGATGCATGTATAAATCTCATTCCATGCGAAGATAGTGGAGCTGTTTGTGTTCAGCCTTGTTCTTCCTATTTCCATGGGGAGACAAGCTTTGTCTGCAAAGACAGAAAGTGGCAAATGTTCACAGACAACTGTGCAAGCCTGGACGTTCAGTCCCTTTTTCAGGTGAGGTAACTGTTATGCATCTACTTTGGCCTATGCTCATAATTTCTTGCAAAGATAGCCCCTCCCTCCATAGGCTTTCGCTCTTGAGCAAAAGGAAGAAACACAGATTACTCTGATAGCAGGCTTTGACTTCATCTTAAATCAAGTGGTGGGAAATGAATTTGGGAAATTCCTGTATGGAAACATAGTTCAGAAATGAAGCTGCATTGTTCACTTGGCTGACGTTCCTCATGTGGATCTAAACCAAGACAATGGTGCACTAGGATGAACCTGAGACAAGGGGAACGACAGTATCTGTAATAATCAGATGATTTGTGGTGAATTCTTCCCAACTACAAAATAAAGAACTTTATTCAAATCACTTCAAGAATAAGGCACTGCATTTAGGTTCTGCCCTTTCCTTCACATGTGTTGTACAAGCAAGATCAAGAATAAGGCACTGCATTTAGGTTCTGCCCCTTCCTTCACGTGTGTTGTGCAAGCAAGACATTCTTCTCAGGTGAGCTTTGGTCCTAGGTTTCAGGCCATTTTGCATATTCATTGCACAGCCCAGCACTGTACCTCTCGCCTGCTTGTCGCTGTAGCTTCCTTTTCATTCTGCTTGTTAATTTTCTCAAATTTATTTTCCTCCCTCCAGAGGATTTCTGAACGTGAACTCATTCCAAGCTCTGGAGGACATATTAGCATTGCTGGAGGTTTTTTTTAGGGAAAGGAAAGCCAGTGCATGGGAAGCCTGGAGATGGTGCAAAATATTTTGGTGCTGATGACCACGGGAGTAGTAACTGCCAAGCTGATTTTTCATGCATTATCCCAGATATCCTGTCTTCACCAGCCATTCCAGGAAACATTGCTGATATAGTGGAATTGCTAAAGAATATTTCCCTGCTGTTATCAGAGAATGTTAATAGAGGAAAAATGCAGGTACTTATTTTTATGGGCTTCAAGAGGTGTTTCGGAGCTTGCCAGAGCATCCATACAGGGATTTGTCCTTATAGCCACTACCCAGTGAAGTGGTGGCTTCAAGTTACATGGAGAACACCTGGAAAGAATTTCCAGAGAGGGTCATATTTTGTTGTCAGAGAAACTGCTTGTCATATTCGTGTACGGCCAAAATACTCAGTGGACTTTACTTTCCTTAAAAGTTTTCAGGAACTGCTGTTATAGACATGGGAGAGCAGTACGAGGTTTAATTTTTAAAGTATGACACTGTAGGGAAGGTAGCCTTGGAGATGCTGACCTGCAGCTGTGTTTTCATATGTTGCACAGTGGAAACTGCAATCTTCCCCTGATGAACTCAGAAATCAGAGACATGGGGAAAGAAATGTAGGGAGAGTCGTGTAAGCAGACCTGCACAGTGGGTCAGCATCTGGAATAGAACTTAGGTGTCCTGATTCTTGCTTTATATTTGTTTCTCCAAGCATCTTTTGAGCTATGATATGAAGAGGGTAGGCCAATTCTGGTAGCGGCCAAGCCAATGAGATGTTTGGGTTTGACTGGGATGTATCATGGGAACCTGTTTGTTGTCAAAGAATATTCCCTTTTCTAGAAATAACTCTTGAACTAAATGAGTCTTTCTGGAGGCTCTACCAGTGGAATAATAGTTGGTTTCTTTTAACATTAAAAAAACCTTACATTTTTCTTGTTTGTTTCAGAGTTACAGCAGGATAGCAAACCATATTCTGAACAGCTCCATCATTTCCAACTGGGCTTTTGTAAGGGACAGAAATGCCAGTTCGATATTACTGGACTCGGTAAATTTATTTGCTGGGAAACTTCTTATACAAAATGGGTCGGAAAGTATACAGGAGCACTTCATCTCTACAAAAGGCTACAGCATAGATAAAAATATTTCAGGGAAGAGCTTTGATTTTTCTATGGAGTTCAGTAACACCAGCAGTATTACAGGGCATGTGGTCATTCCAGAAGAAGAGCTTTTGAAGTTACCCAAGACTTCCAAAGCCATCAGCATTGCATTTCCAACGCTTGGAGCCATTATAGAAACCAGCCGGTTGGACCCCGTTTTTGTGAACGGAATGGTTTTGTCGGTGTCTCTGCCAGAAGAGCTCCAGCACATTTTGCTCACCTTCGAAAAGGTGAATAAACTGGAGAACGTCAAGGCTCAGTGTGTTGGGTGGCACTCTATTGAAAGGAGGTGGGATACCAGGGCATGCAAAATGAAGGCAGACAACATCAGCAGTGCTGTTTGCGTCTGCAGGCATCACCGCCGGACTTACAAATCCTTCTCCATTTTGATGTCCCCCACCCTGCTGCGGAATGCAGCGCTGGATTACATTACACGTGTCGGATTAGGCCTTTCCATTTTCAGCTTGGTTCTCTGCCTTATCATCGAGACTGTTGTCTGGCATCACGTCACAAAATCTGAAATAACTTACATGCGCCATTTTTGTTTGGTCAACATTGCTGCATCGCTTCTCGTTGCTGATGTTTTGTTCATCTTAGCAGCTATTGTGCACAATACAGCCCTAAACTACCAGTTGTGTGTAGCAGCCACTTTTTTCCTTCACTTTTTCTATCTTGCCTTGTTTTTTTGGATGTTTACCCTGGGCCTCTTGATTCTCTATGGATTATTATTAATTTTTTTTAAGATAACAAGATCTGTATTCATAGCTACAGCATGCTCTATTGGATATGGATGTCCCTTGGTCATATCTATCCTCACTGTTGCTATTACTGAACCAAAAAATGGGTATTTAAGGAGTGGAGCTTGCTGGCTCAATTGGTATGAGACAAAAGCCCTTCTGTCCTTTGTTGTGCCCGCTCTGAGCATCATTGTTGTGAATGTGGTGGTGGTGGTGGTGGTTGTGGTGAAGACTGGGAGATCCTCTGTTGGAGAAGGCTGCAAGTCACAAGATTTGAGCAACATGATCCGAATTAGCAAAAACGTGGCCCTTCTGACACCTCTGCTGGGTCTCACCTGGGGGTTTGGATTAGCAACGATTGTCGACAGTCACTCTCTGGCATTCCATGTCACATTTGCGCTGCTGAACGCCTTCCAGGTAAACTCTGTGAGACTGGGAATAGCGCGTGCTCAGACTTTGCTGAACTTGGGAAAAGGTAGCAGACCTCAGAGGGGCTGGCAGCTTGAGCCGTGCATGAAGAACAGGATCTAAGCTTTCCTTTCAGCCTGTGTTGCACAGTGTGTGGGCTAGGCATCCTGCACTGACATAGTAGATGCAGATGGGTAATGGAACAAACTAGTTGATGTAAAGTGTGATGAAGAATTAAGGTGACGAATTTATATTTAACATAAAATACACTTGTTAACGTCCAGTAATTGCAAATATGTCTCATCCTTGTCACTTTAAAAAATACACAGAAAATTCTCGCTTGACATTGAAGATGGTTTTCTTTAACTCATCAATATAAACATCCAATGTTACCTGACATGCCGTTGTATGCCCAGTCTGCCTTAGCTCTTCTTGACTAATACTGCTACTGAGTGGGCTGAGAAAGTCCTAGTATGTAACCCATCAGTCCAGTTCGTAATGAGAATGAGCATGGCTTATATATCCATTCTTGACATTCCCAGAGAGCCCGTGTGACCTGGGTGGATAAACTCATTTTGTGCATTGCTGTTACCTGAGTCACAGATGAGGAGATTTACTACACCGACAAAAACATCATTTTATCTATCCTTAAGGCAATGGCATCTAGAAACATTTAACAAACATCATGTGGTTGTGCTGGTTTTGTTAACTGGTTTTGCAATTTTTTTAGGGATTCTTCATCCTGTTATTTGGAACACTTCTGGACAGAAAGGTACTTGGGTCGCTTCAGCACTTATTCTGGCTTATATGAACATTTTCTACACTTCAAAAAATTGTTCCCTTTAATATTTTTTTTTTTAAATCTACAGACAAGAGAAGCATTAAGGATGAACTGCCTTTCATCAAAGCGGAAGTGTAGTCTAGCAAAGGTAAAGATTTTTCTTCCCCCCCACCCCTTAATGGCTTAATTTAAAATTTGTACCAAATTACACGCCTTGTTATTTGTACATGGAGAGAATGGAACTATGTGCTACATCTTACCTAGTTGAACATTTTTCTAAGGCAGGTGCTTGCTGAAGGTGATACAGGTATCTCAAAAGTACGTTGAGGTTATTAAGCTGTTTAAGTTTTAATCTGTAGATTTTTATGAACTCTACATAACCTGCTGCTGCTGTTAAAAAATTAAAAAATGGCATTTTAATCTAATCTCTTCACCTGTAGATATCAAAGCCCTTTAGATAGAGAATGCCTCTGAATTTTTTCCCATCTGTAAAATAGATCAACTTTAAGGTTACTGACTAAGTAAGGAACAGAATTAAGGGTCCACAATCCCAATGTAATGACCTGTTTGCCACCTTCACAAAAATATGGACCTGTATGACAGCAAGGCTGCTCTAGGATGTCAGAGAATTTTTCTGCTTCCAGCTGAACATCAGCTTAGGATGAAAAACACTCGGCCCAGCCAGCACATTTGCTGCTCATCAGTGTTGTGCACTCATAATAGCTTGAGGTTGTTTTAAATATCAGGGCAATTAATGAAAAGGAAATGTTGGAACATTTTTAAGGGAACAACTGTGTTTCAGCAGCTTCCTAGGAAAACATTGGCAGAGTTGATGTGTTGGCATCACTTAGCAGTTCCTACCTCTGTTGGAAAACTTCTATCTGCTGTTTATTAGACTTCTTTTGGTACCAAGGCTTTCAGGTTTCACACTGCAGTTATAAAAGGGAATCCCCTTTAGCTGTCTCACAAGAACAGTCTGCAGTGTGCCTGCTCTCCGCCAAAAGAAACTCTGTCAGTTCAGTTTGGATTTCGGAAAAATGAAGCTCTTTCCTTGCTTTTCTTCAGTCTATTTATTAATCAGTCCTGATTCGCTGAAAGCTGCAGAGTGTCTTTCTGTGACAGTGTGTCCAAATGTACTTAGTTTATGAGAAAAAAACAGAGGGGTTAAGGGAACTATACCTCCCTTCTACTAGCAGCATGGCCTGCTGTGCTTTGGGTCATTTGGTGCAAGGGAAGCTGCATGTTTGTGCAACTTCTGACTCCTCTTCTTGGCATCCTTCCTCTCCAATAGTCTTCAGCTGCATCCAGCACTGCTGTCACATGCCAAGTTTAAATGCAGTGCAGAAGGTCCTCTCTTAAAACAAAACAAAACGACACCCCCCACCAAAAAAAAAACCCTGAAAAAACCAACCAAACAAACGAAATCCAAACCAAGCCCAACCAAAAACAGAATAAAAAGAACAAAACAAACCCCAAAACCCAATAACGAACGAAAAGACTAATCTCCAAACTTCTGCTAAAATTGTTTCCTGCTTAACAGAGGAAAAAGAGAAAGGATGTGCTTGAGACTGAGTTTACAATTCCTGCTCTTACAGATACAGGATCCAAATATCAGTGAAGGTGTTTCACACCTTATCAGCCTTTGGGTCAGGTTTGAAAGTTTGAAAGTTAAAATTCTCTCAAATCACCACCAATATAATATTCTGGAAACAGCAGGTGGAAATTTCACTAATCCCGTGACTCACCAACATTTGCTAAAAGTATTAAGTGACTTTACTGGGCAAAACTTGATGTGGAAACCATGGCCGTGTGTGCCTAAGAACTTGGGTCGATGTTGTCACTCACCTGGGTGGAAGAGAGCACGCAGAGGTAATTACTGTTGTGTAACAAGAGAGGGGGAAAATGTGCGTCATCCACTTCTGTAAACTTGGGTGTAAATATGGAGTTTGACTCATGAGACTTGGAAACGTTTGTCACACCTGAAATTATTGTTAAAAAAAAAAAAAAAAATAAAAATCTTGGATTTTTTTCTAGAGATTCATAAGACCTCCAGAAGGGTCAAATTTTAAGACGACCATCTTGTGGCATTTCTCACAGGGCTCTGAGGCACCTCCTGTTAGAAATGGAACCTCCACCTACATGGATGATACACCTAATCTGACCTGCTGATTTCTTTTCTCCTAGTCCTAGCAGTGGACAGTTGTCTTCAGTGGATCTGACCAGTGAGAGGAAAAGGAGCACTTCTTACACAGAAATCCTGGTTTGAGATGAGCCGAAGTGGCTGACCAGCTGGGAGCGTGGACAGCACTGTCTTGGAGCACGACCACGGGAAGCATCGTGAAAACCAGAAGAGAAAAGGCCCTGAACCTGCTGTCAGGAGCGGGAAACCATCAGTGTTGCTGTAACCCTTGGAGGAAACAAGCTGATACATAAAGGTTGTTTCTTAACTTTGTGAAAACTGCTGTGAGGAGGGTTTGTCCTCGTTTGCCATTTCAGTGCTTCAATTTCTATTTTTTTTTTCATGCCAGTGCAATAAGGAGCTGTACAGCATGTGGAACTGTTCAAAAATTATTTAATTTTTAATGTGGTGTACAAATGTTGAGCGTTATCTAGCTGGTTTTGGCTGTGTTTGATCAGAAGTGATTCTATTAGATGGCATTGTATTAATAATTTCCAGTTGTCCTCCCAAACTAATGGGCAGCACAACTCTATTTCTGCATTACAGCTGTTCTCTCCATCTCAATATTTATTCTCTCCATCTCACTACTTGTGTGTCAGAGGAATTCTACAGAGCCCTTTTTTGGTCTGTCAGGACAGAATTTTCATTCTTTTTCCAGTCCTGCAAGAGATAAACAAGAAAAAAAAGCACTCTGAAAATAATTAGTTTCCCTCTTTAGATGTGGGAAAGCAAGCTTTGAATATGCTTTAGCATTGAATCAATGGATGGAGATCTCCCGTGTCCTGTGCAATGTGCTGCTAACAAAGGAAGCGGCTCATCCATTTGAGATAGTGTATCTCGTTTCGTTAGAAAATCAGTCCTTGGTCTGAGAAACCCTTTCTAATGCAAGCTTTGATAGAAACGTTATTGTCTCTTGTCAGGACAAATTGATGCTTTCAAATGGAAATAAAGTTGAAATTTTGTCATTCTTTCTTATAAGCAGTTCTTATCCTCTTCTACCAAAACAGTAGATAAATGCCCTTTAATATTAGCTGGTATTACTCAAGTCAGAAATCACTCATCCCATGTGGCTTCACATACATTTGAAATATAGAAGATTTAATTGAAATAATGCTGTTTAACATCATCAACATGCCTTTACCGAAGAGGCAGAAAAATACCCTGACAAATTAACTGAGGGGTGTGGGGCATGTGATACACATGAAAACCCCACAACCAGGTGGAGAAGCTGGGGCTCTGGAGGGGGTGGTCTGGAGGGCAGAGCTGTACCTTGGGCCATGAGACAGTCCTTGTCGCCAGGACTCTGTTGCTTCCTCGTGTCTTCCTCTCCTCTCTTCTTTCCTCATAGCCTGTAGTCTTGTTACAAGAAACTGTCCCTGCTCCTTTCATACTGTGCATTTGCACGTTGGAGAGCTTTGATCAAATAGGGATAAAATGGGGCTTATGTGCTGCTATAACATAAATTTAAAAAGACCATTACCCCAAAGTGTGCTTCTTAGTGTCAAGCAGCATCTTCTGTGCTTTAGCTTCTTTCTCTGCTTGAAGCACTTACAGGGCTTTTTTTCTTTCCTTCCCTTTCCCCACCTTAATAAGTTAGCTGTATCTTGGAGTTGTCTCTCTTAAACCCTTTCCAGCATCAGTAGCATCTCCAAGTCCCTGCATGGCCATTTTCAATGTAGTATCAGAGCTAAGTGCCTCTCATGCTGGAGGGTTTTAGTTCGTTGTGGTGTATCAGGGACACCTAATTGATGACTCGGCTACTGTATTCAAAAGAATAGTTCAAAGATTGGCAGAGGATGTGTAGTGTCAGCTGAAGTTGTTGGTCAGTGTTGAGCTTGTGTCCTTTGCAGTTATGAACCCTTGTGCAGGAACCTCTGTAACCTCTGAAGGAAGGGGACCGTGTTTGCAGCGTGGAGAAAACAACTGCTTTGCACATGAATTTGCTGCAATAGATTTAAAAAGACCACCATTTCCCACCAGTCTTTGCGACCACGTTTAATTCAGCTGGTATTTTTTTTCCCCTTTGATTTACTGTTGATGGTGAAATTTTGTTAACAAAACGTTGGGATTTTTTTGATAGCACCTGCAATTTAAGAAAACTTACCTCAACCTAGCATCTTACCCTTCTCTCTCATGTGCACACATGTGCATGTGAAACCGCAGTCCCTTACAACTGTGGATTCATAGACAGTCTCAAATGAGGCTTCCCATATTGTACAGACCCCCTCCGAAATCCCAGGAAATTCGGCAGGAGTCTGGTCCAGCAATAGTGCTGTGAAAGGAATCAGTTTCATCTGCAGGTTGCTGAAAAAAGTACCTAAGCCGTTTATGAAAGGGTGTTCAAAGTACAGTGCTTCTTTTCAGAAGCTGGCGTATGGCAGAGTGATTTACCCTGTGTTTTATGATCATTTACCTATTTTAAAAATAACTGGGGGCTTACAAAGAAGTAGTTAATGGTACAGGATGAGGATGAGCACTGAAGTTTTATTGTTAATAACCCAAAATTAAACTGACCAAGAGCATTTAATGAATAAATGTTTTTGAGAGGTGAAAGCTGTAGCTGTCTTCTATGGGTTGTGAACTGGTATTTCTTTAAATGCAGTGGGCTGATGGCCCAGTTCTAATTGCAGCTGCGGCAGGGGGGAGAAGGAAAATCACCAGAGCTGGAATTCTGCCAGTTTCCTAAATTATCAGTGTAGCAACAGCTTAATAATGTCAGTGTTGAATGGGTCAGATAGACCCCTTGATGTGCAGGAGCTGTTTTGGAGCTGTTCCACCCTGCCTGACAAAGTGGCCAGTCTTGAAAAACCCGAGTGCTCTTCTTCACAAGGTGTCACCATTAATGGGACAACCCATTTTTTTCCACAGACTTACCACATTGGTTGCGTGGGCAAGCATAGGGACATGTCAGAGCTCCTTGGCCAGGCAGGTAACACATGAATTTTTTTGTTTCAGGGTTGAAACCAAAA